AAAAAATATTAATATGGACGAAAGTTATGCCATTTTTTCAAAAATTCGAAAATTCGAAATTTTTAGTTTTTTAATATACTTTAGTAAATTGTACTTAAACTTGGTACAGGGTTAATTTTAGTGTTTCTTATTAAGATTTAATCGTCAGAATAATAAAATTTTGAATAAGAAATAAAAAATGTTAGATTTAAATATTGAAAAATTAAAAAATTAAAAGTTTAAAAATTGAAATTGTTTTGTAATTAATTTTTATACGGTTGTATTTCTCAGGTCAACAATAAAAATTTGTTGTTGAAATCATAAGTTTACTCTCTTAAAAGAATTCTATTAGGTCAGAATATTAACAATATCCATATACTTAATATGAGACTTTTGTCAGTATATTGCACAGAATTCAAAATTGCTATTATATTATATTAATTAATGACCAAAAAATGAAAAACTCAATTTCATTCTGATGACTAAATTGTAATAAAAAATACTAAAATTAACCCTGTATCAAATTTAAGTAAAATTGATGACAATAATTATTTCAAAACATTAATTTTGAATTTTAAAAATTTCGAAAATATATAGCACTAGCTGTCGTACCCGTCTTCGACGGGTTTTAGTTTCCTCCAATACATTTAACAATGTTTCTACCAATTTGGAAAATCAAAAATAGCCGGGAATTTAATTTCACCGGAAAATTAAAAATTAGTTACCATTAGCTATTTCGGTAGTATAATTATACTATTTGAATAGGGGTTATATTAATAATAAATAATAATAATAATACTAATAATAATAGGGGTATATTTTTCAATATTTAAATCTAACATCTTTTATTTGTTTATAAAGGGTGGACCCTTTAGCAAAAAAAAAAAAATTATCAAAAATTCGAGAAACCGAATTTCTTAAAATTTAACATTTTTTTCTTCTCTTTTATATCATTAAGCTTCATTATTTTTAATGAATTATTTTTTGCTCTTCAAAAATACCTTACTTATTTAATAGTCCCCACCCTTTGGTAAAATATCTAAAATTATGGAAAATTAGCAAAAATTCAAAAAACCGAATTTCTTAAAATTCAACATTTTTTCTTCTCTTTTATGGTTTTTGGCTTCATTATTTTTGGGCTCTTCAAAAATACTTTATCTAATTTGTTATCTCCACCCTTTGGTAAAAAATCTAAAATTATGGAAAATTAGTAAAAATTCGAAAAACTGAATTTCTTAAAATTCAACATTTCTTCTTCTCTTTTATGACATTTAGCTTTATTATTTTTGGGCTCTTCAAAAATACTTTACCTAATTTGTTATATCCACCCTTTGGTAAAAAATCTAAAATTATTGAAAAATAGCAAAAAATTCAAAAAACTGAATTCCTTAAAATTCAACATTTTTCCTTCTTTTTATGGCATTTAGCTTTATTATTTTTGTGCTCTTCAAAAATACTTTACTCATTCAATAGTCTCCACCCTTCGGTAAAAAATCTAAAATTATGGAAAATTAGCAAAAATTCAAAAAACCGAATTTCTTAAATTTCAACATTTTCCCTTCTTTTTTATGGTATTTAGCTTTATTATTTTTGTTTAATGTGGCAAATTTCTTACTTTACATACTGATCTTTAAATAATAAACTTTAATAACTTTTCCTGAAAAGCTTGCTTAAAGATTAAAAATCACTATTTTCTTAGAAAAAAGTTGATCTAAAGAAACTAAAAAAATTTCAAAATACGTCTTTTTTAAAAATTTTATTGTAGAAATGGGTTGTATTTATCTGAAAAAGTTAGCTAAGGATTGTTTTGCATTCATTTTACAAAAGACAAAAAATTTGCATTTTTCTGATTTTTCGAACTTTTTGGAAAAATGTCATAACTTTCGTTCAAGTTAATATTTTTTAATCAGATAAGGCTATTATTGTAAGTTAAGTTAATACCTAATAGACTGCCAAATTTCACTTTAATTGGTTAAACCGTTTTCAATTGATGCGCGAACAAAGTTTTGCATACAGACAGACAGACAGAAATTTTTTTACATTTTTAGAATTATAATGTCTCAAAACGAAAAAATATATAAAAATTTTCAAGTTTGGAGCAATGTACAGATAGTAGTCTGATTTTATTAATATAGATAATGTTCGTTCACATTAATAGCTTTTAGTTTACTATAGCTACACTAAAAAAAAGTTATATGATTCAAGTAATTATAATTATTTGAAAAATAATATCTTATTTAAAAAGTTTTTATTTCGATCTAATAAGAATTTATTTCGTTTAATTAATTTTATTTAGTTGAATCAAATAAATCTTAATTGGATTAATTAAATAAATACTTGACTCTAATAAATGAATTTATTTAACACAAATAATGAGTTATTTTAAAACAAATTATTTATTTCACTCAGTCAATTCGATATTTGACATAAATAAAAATTATTTTAAATAAATAATTTATATAAAAGGAGGAATTTATTTATTTTAACCAATTAATTGAATATTTGGTATAAATAAAAATTATTTGGCACAATTAATTTTATGTTTTAAGTATAATAATTTATTTAATGCAAATAAAGTAGATAATAAAAACAAATAAAAAAACATTTAGATAAAATAAGTTAGTTCCGTTGATGATGTAGTTTGTTTTTCCTATTTAGTTAGTACGGTAGAGTTAGGGGTCTTCGGTTATAGGTCTTAGGCTAGATAAGTGTGACTGGGTTTTGATCCCCGTAGGTTTCAAATTTTAATTTAATTGTAAGAATTTAATGTTAATATTTCCAAGCATATGAGTCCTAAGAAGTATTTAGGCTAAATAATTATTTTATTAAATTTGACTATATAATTAGTACAGTTACTCGAGAGTAAAAAAAATATTAATTAGAACGGGAGATATTCAATTCTTTCGAAAAATTAAAAAAATTGAAAATTTCTAAATTTTATATTTTTTTATGGATTGCTTCTAAACTTTCTATAGTTGAGTATTACATGTTATTTAGTCACATTTTAGCATAATTTTTCAAAATTACTTTCTTATAACGAAGATGTAAGTATAAAAATGTTTTGAATATCAAAAAATTGAAAAAATTATAATTTATACCAATTGTTATGAAACTTAATTCAGTAGTATTTGTGGGCTCTCTGATTTAACTTTTAGAGATATTTTGATCAATGTAAAGACAAAAGTTAAAAACGGTGTTTATTTTGGTTTAAAACAATTTAACAGGGTGTCTACCAACCAGGAAAGACGTAAAATATCTGGGAATTTAATGTAACCGAGAAAAACTGGATTTACTTGCTATACAATTAGTTCGAATTAGACTGTACTATGACTCAAAAAACTGGAGGAAGTTTTAGATTGATTTTAATACATTATATTGATTGAAGTACTACAAATTAAGAAATATTGTTTTCTGCATTTGAATTTGTTAAAAATAACTAATTTGATAATAAAAAGTCGGTTACTGTTTCAAATGGTATTATTTTCCTAATGAAATAGACAATAGTAACTAATTATTATTTTTTCCCTATCAAATCAAATTCCCGGCTATTTTCCGGTTTTCTAGGTTGGTAGATACACTTTTAAGTGCATTATTAGAAACTACAACCCGTCGAAGACGGGTACGACAGCTAGTTTTGCTATAAAGTTCCTCATTACAAGAATCAAGGATATTTAACACGTAAGAAAATATTTGCAATTACTTTATTGTCTCAAATAAATCAGAGAAACATATTAGATCGGCGTTTTACATTTTTTATAATAATTATTGTAATAAATGATAATAACTTACCGCAGGGGGTGTCTAACCCACCCAGGTGGGATATATGGCCAAATGCAGACCTTTCATATTTTCGTTCTGATTAATTTATTATTTATTGTAGGTATTTGATCTTTACATATGTTCATGAGAAATAGTAATAGTGGAGAAAAATCGAATAGTCAATTTATATAAAATATTAATATTTATTGAATTTAGATGAAATTTTCGAATTGAGGGACATCTATCCACACTTTACCCTAATTTTAATGTGTCAATTTTACAATTTATGGAAAAATTTACTACTCTGAAAGTAGGTAATAAAAAGACAAAAATATTACCTACTTTCAGAGTATAGTAGATTTACAAAAAATTGTCAAACTAATTGAATTAATTTTACAAAAGGGATTTTAAATTCGCTACTTTTAAAGACGTTATTTAACAAGTTTATACAAAATTCTGTAAAAAACTATAAATCTACAGAAAAATCTTTTTACAGTGAAATATTTTGAGGTTATGTTGTTTTCAAAAAAATTCTATGGTGAAAAATGAGTGTTATTGACACTATCACTTCGTTCATTTTTCACAAAAATATTTAGTTGAATAATAAATGTAACCCAAGAGACAAGATAAATTTCTGAAAAACAAATTTTAGTTTTGCTTTTTTTCAACCAAAAGAAATTTTGGTTTTAAGAAAAAAACTGAGAAATATAAAAATTCTGCAATGAATTTTCGTGTTTAATTTAAAATTACGAATTTGAATTTAACTAAAAACTATGCCATAATTCATTTTGTACAAAAATGATAGAAGCACATGATTATTTTACTTATTATGTAAGTGACAGCCAGCATGCAAAAATATTGATACCGGAAATTAATAAATATGACATAATATCAAATTGAACAAAGAGAACATTGTATAACTAAAAAAAAACTTCTAATAAATCGTCTGTGTCCAATATTCAAAATTTGTCTCAATTTAAATGTTCATTTATCGTGTTCATAAAACTAATATCTCTCACTTTCCGACACTTACGTTCTTATTGATTGTAAATTTTTTAAAAGCTAATCTCAATGCATTTAAAACTATTTATTAACTTTAGATGCACACACTTGAATGAACAAAGCAAAGTTCTAAATTATAATTTATTAACATTTGTTTAAAAAATAATTATTTCATTAATATTAAAAATTACGGGTATCGAAAATTATAAGTACCTTTTTATTATTATTTAAAATGCAAACCTTAAAGCAGGATAACTTACCTCATTTCATTCATCTGACACTATTGTTATGACCACCTCGTTCTTTCAAATTTAACTCGATATTTCCCTTGCAGTTAATATTTTGTAAAATTACGATCAAAATATATAACTATAAACACATATCAAGATTGATTGAATAGTCATCCGTTCGATTACGAATTGCCAGCATAAAATATTCCTGAAATTTACACCGTGTAAGTTAAAAAACATATTTTACATCTTTAATGTTTACGTAAATATAGACATTATATCATCACAAGATATTATAGACAACTTACAGAAAATATGAAATTTAATTAACTCTATGTTGTCAATATATTATTATAAAGACTTATAAAACAAATTTAAGATTAGATAAAATGAGCCCGACTTTTAATTCACAAATGTTGAAACTCTCTATAGACTTGAGGAAAATTTATTTTGCAATAAGATTAAAAAGAAAAAAAAATTACTAAAGGTTCTACGGAATGAAGTTGCAAGTTTTAAATTAAAATACTTGTTTCTCACTTTCAAAATTAAATTCACTTAACACGTAGTATTATTATTAATTGTGATTATATCTCATGACATATCATATATTTTCACATTGTTGGTCACATTTTTGCTGTAAAAATATTTCAACAAACCCTATTATTAATTCACTACGTTATAGACAATATTAAATCTTTCTTCGCAGCCAGAAAAATTTACTTTTTTATTCTCTGATATATGTATATATATATATATATATATATACATATAAAACATGTATAAAATATAAGCCAAATACTACATATCCTACAAACACACACACACACTTGTATATATGTATACATACCTATATATGTGTATAACAATCTTTATTTTCTATCCTACACCAGTTTATTCTATTCTATGGTGATATATTTTTGAGCCTATTAAACAAACACTTTTTTTATATAAAAAATTTGCTCTTTTAATTGTATTGATTAAAAAAAGACAGACAGGTGTTTTCGCAAGTGTATATATAAGTAATAGATTGAATGCAGTTTGTTGGAGTTTAGTTCTTCTCGTTTTCTGATGGTGCGCTGCAGTCGATGCGTATTAAGGTACAATCACAGCTCCGAACCGCTTCTTTTCTCTCAGGGGCTTTCTACAACAGCTTTTGAGACGCATGCATATCCCCTCACGGTGGTCTTCAAGCACTTTTAGGTTTACCTAAAATGAGTCAAAATTGTGCTAACGCAGTTTTATCTGTAATCATCCCAAGGTTCCAAATTTTTATTTCCGAAAATCGTAGTCGTAGCTGATTCTTTTTTCGAAAAAAAACATATATATGGGCAATTCCACGTGAGATTTAAGTCCACCTCTTAAAATCGGCCAACAATTTTTTTTTCTATTCTGTATCGAAACAAATTAGATTCGTATTTTTTTATTTTTGTTTAATTGTACAAATTTTCGAGTTATAAATTTTCGAAATTTTTGACTTGTAATTGAAGACCTATATTCAGTAGCTTATAATTCCGAAAATATTGAGTTTAGGAAAAAGTTGTCAAAGAATGAAAGTTTTAGTTTTCTTTCGAGTTTTAAGAAATGTAAACAAAAATTTTTTTTTATAAACAAATTAATTGTTTTTAACTTTGGGCCGGATTTAAAAAATTTTTTTTTAAATTTATTTATACCTTATAATATAGAGGAAGTTTCCAAAAAGTCCCGAAATGGCCCTGATGTGTTAAATGAGTTTTAAAACATTTTCAAAAATCACTTGCAAGCATCACATGGGATATTTTTACAATTAACTTTTTAGAACTGTCTGCAGCGTATAAATTTTAATCTATTTGTGTTCTTTGTTTTAAGTTAAAGGATCTACGCTGTAGCAGTTTTAAAAAGTTAATTGTAAAAAAATCCCACTGTCGACTTAAATCTCACGTGGAATTTCCCATAGGGTAATGTCACCTTGAGTGGACCGCCTGAGCTTTTAAGTTATCTGACAGCGAAAACGTGAAATAAATAGTGCGAATAGCAGCACCGCACCTAGAAACCGTAAGAAATTAAGTTCCGCGATAATCATATACGTTACCGTTTGATGTAACGCATTTTTGAGAACACAAACCAAAAAAGAAGTCGCTCTTTCAATGAGTAAAGTGATTTGGAAGTGTAAAAGTAGTGTAAAATTTAAGTTTTAAAAGGTAACTTATTTTTTTCCTACTACTTTGGACATTGAAATTGATTGTCTTAGTTTAATTAAGTGATGATTTTGACTCAAAAAAAATTGTGGTGGCTGCCATAAAAAGTTGTATTTCACTATGAGTGGACCACTGTTTATAACCATGAGTGGACTGCCTGTTTTTTCCATTTTTAATGTCAGTTTAACATTTCTTTAGATATAAATTGACAATAAATTAGTTTGAAACTATGATTTATGTTCTTTATTAATTTTTTTGTGATATTGATGTGATATGTGACAAAATTATTAAAAATGGTTTCACTTGTAAACATTGCGACACATATACATGGTCTGAAGCTGCATATGCATAAATTTTGTTTCAATATATCAGAAATATTAAATACATTAAAGAGTTTGGAATAACTTTTACAATTTTTTAGGATTAGTCAACTCAAGGTTACACTTTTTTCATTCCTTAAAAGGACGCTGCACGGTGGGAAATATTTAAAAGTACGCATAGGCGTAGCGAGCGATTTCTCCTCAACTTCAACTCTTTTCCCCTCTTTTCGTCCCTCTTGGTGAAATTTTTTGACTTTGATAATTAATTAAAAAAAATCCAGATTGAAAATGAAAAAAGGGCGATTTAGGGAAAAATAATATTTAATAGAGAATATTCAACAAGTTTTCTTATGACGATTAGATGTTTCTATGGGCGTGAATATCAATCCGCGTTTTCCAAAACATAGCAAACTGACAGCTCAATATGGGAGGTTAGCCATGGCCGACTATATCAGGTTGCACCGTTTGCGTAGTACAGTAGAAATGAACGTGAGGAACAAAAATATTAAATGTCAATTATACTCTCATTGTTTACTATTACATTTATTATTTGTTTATTTATTTATTATTGTTATTATATCTATTATTATTTATTATTTTACTTACTTTTTTAAAATATTATTATGGAAAAGTATTAAAACAATAAAGGGAAATTTTTTATGAAAAAATTATTAAACAAATAAAATTACTAAACAAAAAAAAGTAAATAATAAAAAATTATGAAATGTATAATTTTTTAAATTATATTAGTTATACAAATTTTTTTAAACAAAATTATTTCAAATACCAAGATTAACTTTTTTTATAGACAATTTGAAAATTAATACACTGGGAATAATATTGACACATTCAGAAAAAATAAATTTTAATGGATAATTTTTTTTTTATTATTTATCAACTGTAGTTTATTTCTAAAAAAAATTATACATTTCATAATTTTTTATTATTTACTCTTTTTTGTTTAGAAATTTTATTTGTTTAATAATTTTTTCATAAAAAATTTTCCTTTTATTGTTTTAATAATTGTCCATAATAATATTTTTAAAAAGTAAGTATAATAATAAATAATAATAGATATAATAACAATAATAAATAAATAAAAAATAATAAATATAATAGTAAACAATAACAGGGTTCCTACAGAATCTGGAAATCATGGAAATAGTATGGAATTTTTAAAAGGCTTCTGGAAATCAGGGAAATAATGGAAAAGGCCTGGAACTTTTAAAAGTTTCTAAATTTTTTCTGTTTTCTATTTTTTCTCTTGAATAGAAATTCAAATAATAACAAAGCTAAATGGCATAAAAGAGAAGAAAAAATATTGAATTTTAAGAAATTCGATTTTTCGGATTTTTGATAATTTTATATATAATTTTAGATTTTTTACCAAAGAGTCGAGACTATTAAATAAGTAAAGTATTTTCCAAGAGCCCAAAAATAATGAAGCTAAATCCCATAAAAGAGAGGAAAAAATGTTGAATTTTAAGAAATTTGGTTTTTTGATAATTTTAGATTTTTTACCAAAGAGTCGAGACTATTAAATAAGTAAAGTATTTTCCAAGAGCCCAAAAATAATGAAGCTAAATGCCATAAAAGAGAGGAAAAAATGTTAAAGTTTAAGAAATTCGGATTTTTGGATTTTTGATAATTTTCGATAATTTTAGATTTTTTACCAAAGAGTCGAGACTATTAAATAAGTAAAGTATTTTCCAAGAGCACAAAAATAATGAAGCTAAATTTTTGATAATTTTCGATTTTTTACCAAAGGGTCGAGACTATTTACACGGAGAGAGATTCTGTTTTAATATTTCGTATTATTATATTAGTATTTAGTAAAACCGATTGCAATTTGGGGAAATCATGTACATTTATGAATTAATATTACCATTTTTAAGAAAGTTTATAATCAAATTATTACTTTGTATTATTCTGAAGTAATAGAAATTGAAATAGTCAATAAGAAGTTGTAATATTATAAGTAAGAAAGTATGCAATAGTAAAAAGTATTACCAGATGATTATACTAAATACTATCGAAGAATTACATAAGTTGTTAATTTAGTTACGAATAGTATTATCGACTATAATAAAAATTATGACCAGCCTAGTAGCAGGCCATAGCAGGCTATGGGCTGACGTCAGGCTGACGTAGAGCGGTTACGAAGCTGTCCGAGATTAGCCGAATATTTCAGTCGAGCAGTTCCGAAATTATCCGAGTCAAACCTCGTGGCAACATGTGCAGGTTGTGTTTACCCCAAAATATTTTAATTTGATGTGTCAAAATGTGTCGGAATTGGGTGAACAATTTTATTTTGTTCATTCAATAATTTTAATCGACAATGAAGATTTCCTAATTGTAGTAAAAGGCATAGTCCATTGTCTTTTAAATGAGCATTTGAGAGCATTCAAAATTTACACGGAAAAAAATTAATCTCTAAATTAGAGATTTAATATGAGATTTAGGCATAAACTATCACTGGAATCGGATGTGTGATTTGAACAGATCTCTAAAACTGAAATTTAGAGTTATATCTAATCCGCATATATTATCAGTGTGAAGAATCCGTATTTTTATGCCTGAAAATGATATTAGAAATCTCAAATTTTATGATTTATCACAATTTAGAGTGAGAATTATTCAAAGAATGTATATTTTTCTTTTAGTATGAACTTATAAACAAATCCATTGACAATCATAAAAAATTGGACATTTTTTGAAGATAATATGAATTTTTTATTATTTCATTTCTTTATTTGAATCAAATTATCTCAACATCACACAATATAAACATTCTTTTTCTATTTCTTAATAAAAAAACATGGTTTGGTACAACTTTCAATATAGGTTAGGTTTTCAAGTGTCAAACGAAAGTTTAACCTGAAAATACTAATAAATAAAAATATGTCCCACCCGTGATAACGCGAAAAACATTCGTAAAATATGGAAAGTGAAAACTGGGAATGAAACTGCATTTAAAATATAAAATTAATACTTAAATAATTAAAATGGTTTAAATATTCTTTGACAATGATGAACTTAAAACGCAATGTAATTCGCATCAGATAAGTTGTGAAATTAACAAATCTCTAAATCAGAGATGTGAATTTAACATACTTACATTCCATTGGATTTCAAATTAATATTATTTCAAGTTTAGATATTAATTTTTTTCCGTGTACGAAAATGAATTAGGACATTGGAAGGTATTTAAAAAAAATGATTTAAGATATGCTGCATTTTCTTATGCCAATAAATTAAATGATGGGTTTTTTTATATAACGAAAAATTGGATATAATTTCAATAGAAATCATTTTCCAGAAACAAACAATTTTAAAAACAGTATTATGATAAACATTTCTGAATAAAATTTTGACCCAGCACACAAAAGTATGTATTTATAATGTAAAATAAATTAAGAACTTTTTTAAACAAAATATGGAGAAAATATCACTTTCTCACAAGTTCAGAAAATTTCTCGAGTTTAGTATATAAGGAAGTTGAGAACTGTATCTCCCAATGTATAGCGTGCGTGCGTTATT